TGAACTCCTGCCAAGTACAACATAGTACAAATTTCATTCTATACTGATTCTTGATCAGTATAGAATTCATACACTTGTTTTTATTTGAGAAACTTGGCATGCTTCATGTTTCATCATAAAGTGATCAGATGTGCATAAATGAGATAGTATAGTTCTTATGTGGAAATTATAACATAGTATCATATGAGGTGGGACGCGGGTGGCGCTGTGGGTAAAAGCCTCAGCGCCTAGGGCTTGCCGATCGAAAGGTCGGCGGTTCGAATCCCTGCGGCGGGGTGCGCTCCTGTTGTTCGGTCCCAGCGCCTGCCAACCTAGCAGTTCGAAAGCACCCCCGGATGCAAGTAGATAAATAGGGACCGCTTACTAGCGGGAAGGTAAACGGCGTTTCCGTGTGCGGCTCTGGCTCGCCAGATGCAGCTTTGTCACGCTGGCCACGTGACCCGGAAGTGTCTGCGGACAGCGCTGGCCCCCGGCCTCTTGAGTGAGATGGGCGCACAACCCTAGAGTCTGTCAAGACTGGCCCGTACGGGCAGGGGTACCTTTACCTTTATCATATGAGGAGCCTGTTTCAGTGCAGTCTTGCATGAATAGATCAGTCCCCTTTTTTATGGGATGCTCATTGCAGGGGTGTTTTCAAACTAGCAATGTGAAGCATGATGAACAGTTCTATAGCTATAACTTCCCAGTTATGCATGTTTGAATTTATTCTGGGTCTTGAAGGACACAGTTCCCCCTGACCCCCCCCCCATTTGCTCAGTTATGATCCAGTATTTCCTCTGATACACCAATATACCTTGCATAAAACTATTTACTTGCATATTACTTGCATAAAACTTAAATGAAAGATATTTCCCAAACACAAACATTGAGAGTCGTCGTTGGAGCTTTGATTTAGATTCTAAAGTTTACTGATGTGCGCACAACAAGGTCATAGAATCAAATTACAAATAACTAAGTTGAACCCATACTTGTAAATTTATTATAGCTTTATTAATTTATTACATTTATATTTCACCTTTCCCCACGGAGCTCAAGGTCCTGTGCATTGTTTTCCCCATCTCATTTTATCTTCACAACAACCCTGTGAGGTAGGTTAGGCTGAGAGGCGGTGACGGTGACCTTCATATGTGAGTGAAGATTTGAATCCTGATTTCCCAGCTCCTAGTCCAACACTCTTAATCACCATACCACAAAGGAAGACAGGAAACTGCCTTATACCGAGTCTAGCCATTGGTCTGTCTAGCTCAGTATGCCAATGCTAACTTGATAGCAGCTCTGCAGGGTTTTAGACAGGAGTCTTAACCAGGCTGGCAGTTGAACTTGATACATGTTCCTCCCATTCAGTTCCCCCCTCCAGAATTTATGAAGCAAACGGAAACATCAGCCCAGGGAACACTAGTGGTTTGGTTAAAGGTAGAATTAGAAAGCTCTAAACGTGTAATGTAGCAAGAAATGAGGAAGCAAAGTTATTTTCAGCCTGTGATTTTGACTGTGATTTTGCAATCCCTCCAAATCCCTGAATTCTAAGTTTACTTGCTTTGTTCTTAACAAGGTCTTGTTGAATTTCAGTAGACCGGGGTTGTCAAACTGGCACCTACAAATTTGTCTGGGCTTACTAGTCAGTCGTTATTTGTGGTTGTCCTCCATCCATTTAGCATGAGCAGAGGGCTTGAGAGGGGCTATTTTTTTATTTGTCCTGATTATGTGGAATATCTTACATTCCATAGCTTCAAGCTACAGAGGTACCTCGGGTTGCAAACGCTTCAGGTTACATACTCTTCAGACTCTGCTAACCCAGAAATATTACCTCGGGTTAAGAACTTTGCTTCAGAATGAGAACAGAAATCTTGCTCCAGCGGCGTGGCGGCAACAGGAGGCCCCATTAGCTAAAGTGGTGCTTCAGGTTAAGAACAGTTTCAGGTTAAGAACGGACCGCCGGAACGAATTAAGTTCTTAACCCGAGGTACCACTGTATAGGGTATATGAGGGCTGCATTTGTAACTATCCTTTTTGCTCTTGTTGAATGGATATGTAAGATGCTTGAATTTTGGTTTTGGGATTTTTGTTGATGTTGACAAACTGAATAATTTGTCAAGGAGAGAGGTGTGAGAGGCAGGGTGATAATGGGGTAGTTAGACCAGAAACAAAGGTGAATGTTTAAGAGCTGTATGAACATCATAAATGCTGTCTAGCACAGGGGTAGGCAACCTAAGTCCTGGGGGCCGGATGCAGCCCAATCGCCTTCTAAATCCGGCCCGTGGTCGGTCCGGGAATCAGCGTGTTCTTACATGAGTAGAATGTGTCCTTTTATTTAAAATGCATCTCTGGGTTATTTGTGGGGCATAGGAATTCGTTCACACACCCCCATATAGTCTGGGGGTCTGAGGAACAGTGGACCGGCCCACGGCTGAAAAAGGTTGCTGACCCCTGATCTAGCGTTTTGTCTTCCAGCAGTGGCTACCTGGATTGTCCTTGGAAGTTCACAAGCTGATCAAAGCTCAATTCACGTAAATATCATAGGTTTCAGTGGAACTTTAGCACGTGCAACTAGATTAAAGTTGGCAAATTGTAGGCTGAAGTATTGGGATGCAACAACAAAGCTAAAAACTTTGGGGATTTTGAGGAAATCCAGTACTGAGACCAGATGGTGGATTGCATCTGTAACAGGTTCAAGGCTCTCTTGGTGCAGTGGCTTGAGAGTTGTTCTTCAAACAGTCTTGAGATTTGTTCTTTAAAATCTAAATCTGTATAGAAATGAAATTAATAATAATAACAATAATGTCCACCACACAAAAAATCCAACAGTACCTAGGCATTACACTGTGGTGACTACAATGCAGGTTTAAGGTGCCATTTGGCAATTAGATTATATATCTGAGTTTTTAATACTGCCTGTGGACAAGATCCATAGCATTATGTTTTCTGGGACCCTGTTCTGCTTGCTTAGTGCTCTGGTGGCATCTCGGTGATAGCTACATTTTTCCTTCTTTCCTTGTGAGTCTGCTTTTTCCTTTTAAGATCTATAGTTTTTGTATAATTTTAAGATTGACATGTTGTATTTTACAGCATAGTCCACTGTGAAAAACTTCTTGGTTCTCAGTGGGCTTCTTCAGACTGTAGTGTTCAGCACTGTAGAAATAAGCCTAGTGAGCCTCAAGTTCCCACATTTTTCTGGTGTGGTCATGAGAAGGAGTTTGCAAGCTTTTGCTTCTATTTTATGCAGTGGAGGAGCAGATTAGCTGAAACCTATTTCTTGGGAACTAGTGCATTCATGCTAAGCCAAGGCTTGACTAAACGTGACATGTGAATGTAGCCACTGTAGTTAATAAGAACATAAGAACAGGCCTGCTGGATCAGACCAATGACCATCTAGTTCAGCATCCTCTTTTCACAGTGGCCAACCAGCAAGTATGACCTGAGTCTGTGGAGGCAGAGCATGTCTATCCTGGCTAGTAGTCACTGATACAGCCTTTTCCTCCATGAATTTGAAGGCATGGATGATTTTCATTCTGGTGAATAACAACGCCCCTGGGGCCTGAGCTGTATATTGTGAGGCTTACAGCTCAATCCTGTGTAGAATGAAACATGCTTAAGGCAAAGTCAATGGACTTGAGATTGTAGGATCAGCTGTTAGCACAGCAGCAGGAGATGGAGTTGTGAAAAGGAGGTTGCATTACAGCAGCTGAGTTAGGCTGCCAGAAAACTTGAAGTGGATTACTTGAGTGGAGGGAAAACTAGTAGCCTTTTAGCTTGATGCTGAAAGCAGATTCCTGCTATTCTCTTCTCTGGCAAAAATGAAGCCCTTTGTTGATGAAGTGGATGAACAGAATGAAGAGCTCATCTATGTCAAGAGAGTTTGATTGGGAGAAGTATTATCATTGTGAAGAGCTGCTGGACAGGAGTTGGGGAAAACTCAGGATTTTGGGGAAAAGGGAGTTTATGCTCTGTGTTCTCTAGTTATGTATGGACTATTTGCTACTGAGCTGGGGCAATGTTTAATTTCTAAAAAGAGATATGCAGAAACTCGGATTTGTGGAAAATTAATTATTTGTATCCTCCTTAATTTCTTCGTGGGAAGGGGAGGGCAGATTGCACTTCCTCAATGGTAGGAGAAAAACACATTGTGTGTTCCCATGCTCTTCCTGACTGATAGAAATAGTTGTTGACAACACAATTTGTTGACTGGTGGTTTCAGTAATTCTTTGAGTAAACTTGAAACTTTGCCGATGTGGCTGGGACTCTTAATTTAGCTAGAATTGCCACCACATATCACTGCAGCAGTTTTCTTTCCTGAAAGGAAAAATGGAACGTTTCCTTAACTTCTGATGTTGTAATCTGTGGTGTGCTAACTGCAAAATAATAGCAGTATTTCTCTTGTAATATTATACTTTGGCCAAAATTATTTAGCCTTCGAGTGTTGTAGCTGAAGATGAGGTTACTAATAAACTCAGTGAACCCTTTATTAATTTTTACTATGGCTGTACCTTGGATCCCAAACGCCTTGTGAGCCAAATGTTTTGGCTCCCAAATGCTGCAAACCCGGAACTGAGTGCTCCGGTTTGCGAATGTTCTTTGGAACCCGAATGTCTGACGCGGCTTCTGGTGCTTCCAATTGGCTGCAGGAGCTTCTTGCAGCCAATTGGAAGCCATGCCTTGGTTTCCGAACGTTTTGGAAGTCTAACGGACTTCCAGAACGGATTCCATTCAACCTCTGAGGTACCACTGTATATTTGTTCCTCTTACCTAGAAGTAAATATTAGAATAGTTATAAGCTGAATAGTTCTATAATACGATTGACGAATATCCATTTTTCCTTAAAGCTACTGCAAACCATTAAGTATCACTTTTGTATGCAATCTTTGGCATATTTACCCATGTTGTGTTTTTTCTTAAAAATTGTTCCAGTTTAAAATTATCGTTGTAATGGGAGGTGCCATTTTGCAAAAGAAAAATAATAATTCTTGATAACAGTATTTAACAACTTTTATACTTTATTCTAGGGATTCATCAAAGATGTTCATGAGGATTCACTCACAGTTGTGTTTGAAAATAAGTACGTACTATGTTGAAAAATATTACTCCCTTTATTTAGTTACATAATGTGCCGTCCCCCAGAAATGCATAACACATAGTTCACTATGGAGACAAAGCGCAGGAACTCGACTACAAATACAGTTGAATGTAAAATGGAAAGAACACACTTAAATGTTGTTGCTAAGTTCTTGAAGCCACAGTAGTCCTGTAGTCTTGGCAACTATAGTAAATTGAAACGGGTTTAAATAGAAATACAGCTGATCTTACTGTGTTGACAATGGGGAGGCTGGTAAATAGCCACTCTGTTGGCTGCCTCCCTGTGACTAAGGCAGAGATCCTTCTGTAAATTAGAAGAGAACATTTCCCCCTCCTCTCTGGCTGTCACTGTCCTGGTTTGGGTGATTGGGAGCAAACTGCAACAAGTCTCAGTCTTGTGTTCTTCCTTTCCCCACCACCCTAATACTTGAGAGAGACCTTCCACTTTCATTTTAGAACAAGCTACAATGCTGAATATCTATAGTGAGGGGGAAAAGTATTTGATTCCCTTCTAAATTTGCCCATTTGCCCTCTCACTGTATATACCACAGAAGTGTTGTTTGTTTAAACCAGGGTAAAACTGATATTGGAACCTATTTTTTTGGCCAACCTTGGTAAGAACAAACCACAGTTCCCAGCATTCATATGTAATATGGAACTTTAGTTTATTCTAAAGTGAAAGCAGAGATGTTTGCTCTCTTCTCATCTGCAAAGGATGAGAGAGTGGGAGAGCGCATAAAGCCAAGGCTCACCACAGATTGCTCATAATCATTTGCATCATAGTTTAGGATAGTAACATTTGAGTCACGGATGGTTAATATAAGTGTGTGTTGTTAAGCAATCTAACAAAAATGTTGTTGGCTTTTGAATATTGAGGTTCTCTGTTTAATATTAGTGTGGACAGTATTCCATTTGTGTCCAATATTAGTATTTAAATAATCAGTTTAAAATTACAACTGTGAACCAGGGTTACCTTTTTCTTACTGACCATGATGTAATTTGAAACTTTCAGCTGGCAACCAGAACGCCAAGTTCCCTTCATTGAAGTAAGATTACCACCACCACCTGATATCAAGAAAGAAATTGGTGAAGGAGATGAAGTGGAGGTGAGTTCATCCAGTGATGGGCAGTGACTTGTATTTTTAGAGGTACTGTTGGTCAAGTTAGAACCTTAATACCAATCATGTCAAAATGAATGGAATTTTCACAGCAATGCTTGGTCACTTGTGCCATGGATATAAATTAAAGAAGTCCCCTCTTTCCAGTAGCTACACAGCTGTCGGGAGTCAGTCTGCATGTTATTATTACCAAGCAGAATGTATTCTTCATGAAAGCTATGTAACAGATTTTTCGGGAAGACCATGTACAGTGGTGCCTCGCAAGACGAAATTAATTCGTTCTGCGAGTTTTTTCGTCTTGCGAATTTTTCGTCTTGCGAAGCACGGTTTTGGAAAAGTTTTGGAAAAGCTTCAAAAATCACCAAAGTCTTCAAAAACCTCAAAAAAGGCTACCACACCGCGTGCTATGAGTTGCTCCTCGAAGTCAAGTCGCAACTGTATTAACGGTTTTAAGAAAAAGGAAACAAACTTGCAAGACGTTTCCGTCTTGCAAAGCAAGCCCATAGGGAAATTCGTCTTGCGAAGCAACTCAAAAAACCAAAAACCCTTTCGTCTTGCGAGTTTTTCGTCTTGCGAGGCATTCGTCTTGCGAGGTACCACTGTATAGTGAGGACAAGCAAGTTCTGAATTAGACACACAGGACACAGCTCTCAAATTCAACAGCAAGGTGCATTTATTCCTCTAGGAGGCACTGCATTGTCACCAAAGAAGGGAGGAGGATTCAGGGCTTCCTCTTGTTGTCATGGTTGGTGGATCTGTTTCTGTTCTGTGTTGTGCTTGTCTATGCCTCAAATTTGTCGTCACATAATGACAAATATGAAGAAACAGAAACTGATTGCGATAGTTCAGAAAATGAAACTGATCCTATGAATACTGCATTAAATTCAGTCTCCCCTCCAACCCTTTTCTCAGCTATTCTTATGGCTCATAGACATAGAACCACAGAATTGTAGAGTAGGAAGTCCAGTCCCCTGCAATGCAGGAATCTCAACATGCCGTCCCCCATCCAGGTTGAAACCAGGCTTTGTTTCAACATGACACGGTTTTGTGTCTGCATGACAATGTGGAGAACTGAGGAGATGCAGTGATTTTGTGAATACTTAATAATTTTCTTTGTTTTACTCATAAACTGACAATACCAAAGAGATGCTAGGTTCCTTACAGTTCAGTAGTTTGTAGCTCCATTTGTAACACATTTTAAAAAGTAAATTCAATTTGTAATTATTGTTTGACTAAACTCTACTTCCAATATAACAAATATGGTATTTTACAATAAAGTCATACACAATACATTTTATGTTCCTAAAGTAAAAAAGTTAATTTTGATCTGTAAATGCTGCTTTAAAAATAAATACTGGGTATTTTTCAGTTTTCCCCAAAATTTGTGTTTCCTCTGAGAAAAAACTTATCTCCTCCCCCCGTCTGGCATGACTTCAAAATTTCTGGAAATTTTACATCTCTACCTATTTCCAAAGATGAATTGGACACCAGTAGAAAATTGTTGCCAGCAGATTATGCCAAGCTCTTTATCCATCTGCCACCATTTTGTAATTGGCTTCATCCCTGTGCTGCCATTTTGTGATTGATAGGCCTATACAATTTTCAGCCGTGTCATTTGAGCCTTGGGAGTAGAATGTATCATAGAATCATAGAGTTGGAAGAGACCACAAGGGCCATCGAGTCCAACCCCCTGCCAAGCAGGAAACACCATCAGAGCACTCCTGACATATGGTTGTCAAGCCTCTGCTTAAAGACCTCCAAAGAAGGAGACTCCACCACACTCCTTGGCAGCAAATTCCACTGTCGAACAGCTCTTACTGTCAGGAAGTTCTTCCTAATGTTTAGGTGGAATCTTCTTTCTTGTAGTTTGGATCCATTGCTCCGTGTCCGCTTCTCTGGAGCAGCAGAAAACAGCCTTTCTCCCTCCTCTATGTGACATCCTTTTATATATTTGAACATGGCTATCATACCACCCCTTAACCTCCTCTTCTCCAGGCTAAACATGCCCAGCTCCCTTAGCCGTTCCTCATAAGGCATCATTTCCAGGCCTTTGACCATTTTGGTTGCCCTCCTCTGGACACGTTCCAGTTTGTCAGTGTCCTTCTTGAACTGTGGTGCCCAGAACTGGACACAGTACTCCAGGTGAGGTCTGACCAGAGCAGAATACAGTGGCACTATTACTTCCCTTGATCTAGATGCTATACTCCTATTGATGAGGCCCAGAATTGCATTGGCTTTTTTAGCTGCCGCGTCACACTGTTGGCTCATGTCAAGTTTGTGGTCAACCAAGACTCCTAGATCCTTTTCACATGTACTGCTCTCAAGCCAGGTGTCACCCATCTTGTATTTGTGCCTCTCATTTTTTTTGCCCAAGTGCAATACTTTACATTTCTCCCTGTTAAAATTCATCTTGTTTGTTTTGGCCCAGTTCTCTAATCTGTCAAGGTCGTTTTGAAGTGTGATCCTGTCCTCTGGGGTGTTAGCCACCCCTCCCAGTTTGGTGTCATCTGCAAATTTGATCAGGATGCCCTTGAGTCCATCATCCAAGTCGTTGATAAAGATGTTGAATAAGACCGGGCCCAAGACAGAACCCTGTGGCACCCCACTAGTCACTCTTCTCCAGGATGAAGAGGAACCATTGATGAGCACCCTTTGGGTTCGGTCAGTCAGCCAGTTACAAATCCACTGAGTGGTAGCATAGTCAAGACCGCATTTTACCAGCTTCTTTACAAGAATATCATGGGGCACCTTGTCAAATGCCTTGCTGAAATCAAGGTAGACTACATCCACTGCGTTCCCTTCATCTACCAGGCTTGTAATTCTGTCAAAAAACGAGATCAGGTTAGTCTGACATGACTTATTTTTCAGAAATCCATGCTGACTATTGGTGATCACAGCATTCCTTTCTAGGTGCTCACAGACTGTTTGCTTAATGATCTGCTCCAGAATCTTCCCTGGTATTGATGTCAGACTGACTGGGCGGTAATTATTTGGGTCCTCTCTTTTCCCCTTTTTGAAAATAGGGACAACATTTGCCCTCCTCCAGTCTGCCGGGACTTCGCCTGTTCTCCAGGAATTCTCAAAGATGACTGCCAGTGGTTCTGAAATCACATCTGCCAGTTCTTTTAATACTCTTGGATGCAGTTCATCTGGCCCTGGAGACTTGAATACATCTAAACTAGCCAAGTATTCTTGTACTATCTCCTTAGTTATTCTGGGCTGTGTTTCCTCTGCTGAATCATTTGCTCCAAATTCTTCAGGTCGGGCATTGTTTTCTTTATCGGAGAAGACTGAGGCAAAGAAGGCATTGAGGAGTTCAGCCCTTTCTGTGTCCCCTGTTTGCATTTCACCATCTTCTCCTCTGAGTGACCCCACGGTTTCTTTGTTCTTCCTTTTGCTACGAACATACCCTTAAAAGCCTTTTTTACCCATAAAAGCCTTTTTTACCCATAAAAGCCTTTTTTTGAGAACCATTGTTTGAGAACCATTGCTCTGTTTTATATAAAGATATATGAGAACCATTGCTCTGTTTTATATAAAGATTTTTGAGAACCATTGTTTGAGAACCATTGCTCTGTTTTATATAAAGATATGAAGGCAGACAAGATTATCTTAAATTTTATATTAAGGGAAAGAATTTACTTTTAGAATAGTTTATGCCTGTATTTGTATTGATACTTGTAATTCTGGTGTACACAGAAAAAGAAAATCCAGCTTTCAGTTGCCATGATTTTGTTGGCTGTCCACAAACATCAATGAAATGAATCCGGGTAGTGCTAGTTTGTGAAGATTGAAACATATTCTAATCAATATGGTTTAAATATGCTGTATGATCCCCCCCCAGGTGTATTCACGAGCAAATGAGCAAGAGCCTTGTGGATGGTGGCTAGCAAAAGTTCGAATGATGAAAGGGGAGGTAAGTAGGAGTAAAACTTGGGAATTGTAAGTAAACTTCATGAGGAAACATCTAAAGAAAGCATTAAACCTAAGAAAGTTTTAAACCTCTGTGTAGGATGTTACAAACAAGAGCACGCCAAAAAAACCCCTACAGTATGCAAGTCTAGTAACCTATTTACATACACTCCCCAAAATGGATGGGATTGGGTATTCTTATTTAAATTTGCTGAAAGTTTTGCTTCCTGAAGTGGTGGAATGGCAAAGGCAAAGAGGATGATTCAAATATTTATCATGCTAACTATTTAGTGCTCTTTGGGTTGCGTCCAGCTAAGTCATACTCGAGAGAAGACCTATTGAAAACAATGGATTTGTTACTTTTAAGTCCATGGGTTTCGGTGAACCTGCTCTGAGTATGCTTTAGTTGAATGCAGCCCTCTAACTCAGAGGTTTTCAATCTTTTTGAGTCCACGGCTCCCTTAACCAACTACATTCTTTCTGCGGCACCCCTGTGAGACGCAGGAGCTCAGTTACGTCCCCCCTTGCCTGCAGAGCTGGCAGCCTCTTACCCTTTTTTGAACACCATCCCTTGTGGAGTGTTCCCTCAGCCTCCTCTCCTTTCCCCTCTGCTTGGGAGTCCTCTGGGCAGCCGTTGCTACCGACCCTGGTCTCTGAGCTGCCCCACCCCCTGCCCCAAAGAGGTGTGCCTCCCAGAGGCACCATTTGCCTGCACAGCTTACAGCCAGGGCTGCTTCAATAACCAGCTGTGCAAACCCTAGGGAGGCAGAGATGCAAGAGGGCATCAGAGGAGGGAGGGAAGGAAAGAGCGAAAGAGTCCAGTGTTGCCCTGAGCATCATTCAAGGCACCCCAGGGTACTCCGTTTTCCATAACAGTTCATTTCCCAATGTTACACCTTTTTGTTCCTATAACACAGTCTTTGTCAACCTGGTGCCTTTAAGATGTTTTGGACTACAACAGCTGTGCTGACTGCGGCTGGTGGGGGTTGTAGTCCAAAAACATCTGGAATATACCAGGTTGACAAAGGTGGATAATGCATTTTGCTTCCTTATATTTAGGGCTTCAGAAACCCCATGCTCCTGTTCCTCATGTAGTATAAAGGCTGAGTTTTACTCTAGGATTGGTGAGACCTGCGTTCAAATCCCCGTCTATCAATGAAGCCCATTGGATGACTTTCGGCCAGCTACACACTTTAGCCCAACTTAAACCTTATTGTTGATGTATGCCACCCTTACATTGGAGGGCTGTGATAAAATGCAGTATATCAACAAAGCTGAGGCATGTGTTTTATGAGGATGATATACTATGGAGACGATAAACTGCTATGAGTGTTTCTGCATAGTTTTGGGTCCAAGAATTTGAGAGTTCTTGGGGGGGGGGCAAATGTGTGTCCTTTAGATTGTTTTTTAAAAAATAATTCTAATCTGTCCTTAGTTCTACGTCATTGAGTATGCTGCCTGTGATGCCACTTACAATGAAATAGTGACATTCGAACGACTTCGGCCTGTGAATCAAAACAAACCTGTTAACAAGAACACATTCTTCAAGTGTGCAGTAGAAGTTCCTGAAGATCTGAGAGAAGCGTGAGTGACTACTCTAAAATTTCATTATATCGCTATCTTTTATCTAAAAATTGGTTTTCTTTTAAACAACCTAAAGCTGATTTTTTTTAAAAAAAATCATCTGAAGTCTTGGACAGATGAAAGATGGAGTACACAGTTACCTGGGAATAGCTTCCATTATACTCAGTAGGATTTACCTCCAAGTAGACATGCATTAGATGACACTGTGACTCTGTTTTACTGAATCTTTAAGAAAGACAGATGGATAAGAAGGCCTAGACATGCAGCAGGATTTTCTCAGTTACAGGCACACCTCAGAGATCTTGTGGGTTTGGTCCAGATCACCGCAATAAAGCGAATATCGCAATAAAACAAGTCACACAAGTGGTTCGTTTCCCAGTGCATATAAAAGTTATGTTTACACTATGGTCTATTAAGCCAGGTCCCCCTGACTGCAGGACCGGAGGGGAAAAGCCTGGCTCCAGCCCTAGCCAGCTCCACTCTTGTGGCCAGAAGGGTGGCAGCAGTGGGGGGCTTCTTTCCCCTGGATGTGGCCAGGCTGTCTGGAGCTGCACCTGTGTCCTCTTAAGGAGCAATATCTGTGAAGCGCAATAGAGCGATGTATGCCTGTAGCACGCCTGCCAACCTAGCAGTTCGAAAGCACTCCTGGGTGCAAGTAGATAAATAGGGACCGCTTACTAGCGGGAAGGTAAACAGCGTTTCCGTGTGCGGCTCTGGCTCGCCAGAGCAGCGATGTCACGCTGGCCACGTGACCCGGAAGTGTCTCCGGACAGCGCTGGCCCCCGGCCTCTTGAGTGAGATGGGCGCACAACCCTAGAGTCTGTCAAGACTGGCCCGTACGGGCAGGGGTACCTTTACCTTTTACCTTTTATGCCTGCAGCAGGGAGAAGTGGGTGAGAAATTCAAAGGCCATAGACTAGATTTCGATTGTGGCAGAAAACAGAAATTGCTGAGGGGCATGGAGAGGAAGAAATAGGAAGGGACCCTAGCAACAGGCGACCGGCTTCCAAGTAGGAGTTTCATTTTTTATTAATGGTCATTAGTTTGGTGGGTAAAGATGGATCACCAGTCTCACGAGCTTCAGCATTCAAGGAAGAGGGAATTAACATAACAGGAATATCACCATATCTGTGTCTGCACTCACTTGTACAAATGCATTGGATTTTTTTCCCATGCTTTTGAATGCTTTGCCTTGAGTATTGCAGTTTTATACAGCAGCATGTTTTGTTGATAAAACTGCCACCTGAATTAATTTATAAATTGGTTTTTTTAGGTGTGCTAATGAAAGTGCCCATAAGGATTTTAAGAAAGCTGTAGGAGCCTGCAGAATTTTTTACCAGGCTGAAACTGCTCAGCTAATAGTACTGGTAAGGTATATTTTCTGTTTGGTTTGATCACTGTGTGAGTTTACTTTTTGGCTAATGTTACGATTGTGTATGAGGGAGAAAAAAAAGATTGAAGACTGAAGGTTATCTCCAGCTTTGTATTCAGAGTAGGTCCATTGAAATCAATGCCTATTGTTTTCAATGAGTCTGTTCTAAGCATGGCTTAGTTCTTCAAGATACCTTGTTACTTGGGTATATTGAGAAGCTTTCTGCTTGTGAGTGAGAAATTTGCTTTGGAGATTCCAGGCTAGAAAGTTGTGGGCAGAACCAGTAGGCAGAGGATCTCATGCAAGCTAAAGCCCAGGCTTTACTATTTTGCCTTTGACACTTCTGTGCATATTGCAGTACAAGACAGCTGGGTCAGGCTGAAGGGTGTGTGTGCCAAGATACCTTGCATAACTTTGTGTACACCCCCATCCACATTTCCGGCCGCAGCTGATGCATCTGTATGGGCATTGCTTTCTGCCGATAGTAGGTCAGGTTATCCGAAACAAAATCCATCGCACCATTTTGATCCAGTGATGAAAATAAATGTTTGCTGACCTTGTTTCAAAAACCAAAAACAGCAAGGATTCCTTGATGTTCTTCTGAGTAACAGAAGAAGTTCTGTCACATTTTTCCAAAACATGCAGTTGTAACAAGGAATTGTTAAATAAAATGAGGGATCTCTAGCTATAAATTGCCTCGTAAAGTGGAAATGCTGTTTGTATCATTGTTACTTTATTTCTGCAGTCTGCCAGTGAGGCAACAGCGAAAAGAGTAAATATCCTGAGTGACATGCATTTGCGCAGCATTCGAACGAAGATAATGCTTATGTCAAGAAATGAAGAAGCAACAAAGCATCTAGAAGTGAGTTGTCCTCAGACTGCCCCCCCCCCAATTTCAGCCACCCTTCTCAATTCCAACGGGACACGCGTGGCGCTGTGGGTAAAAGCCTCAGCGCCTAGGGCTTGCCGATCGAAAGGTTGGCAGTTCGAATCCCCGTGGCGGGGTGCGCTCCCGCTGCTCGGTCCCAGCGCCTGCCAACCTAGCAGTTCGAAAGCACCCCCGGGTGCAAGTAGATAAATAGGGACCGCTTACTAGCGGGAAGGTAAACGGCGTTCCGTGTGCTGCGCTGGCTTGCCAGATGCAGCTTGTCACGCTGGCCACGTGACCCGGAAGTGTCTTCGGACAGCGCTGGCCCCCGGCCTATAGAGTGAGATGGGCGCACAACCCTAGAGTCTGTCAAGACTGGCCCGTACGGGCAGGGGTACCTTTACCTTTACTCTCAATTCCAGTCTTGATGTAGCTCTTCTCATATTTGAAGTTCTGCTGTAGTAAACAAATTATTTTGCCTCCTCTCTAGTGCACAAAACAGCTTGCAGCAGCATTTCACGAGGAATTTGTTGTCAGAGAAGATTTAATGGGACTTGCAATAGGAACACATGGTAGTAATATACAGCAAGCCAGGAAGGTTCCAGGAGTTACTGCAATTGAGCTTGAGGAAGATACCGGAACTTTCAGGATCTATGGAGAGGTAAAAGGAAACAAGGGGTTTCTTACCTTTGTAGTTGTGTGGCATTCTTTTTCTTTACTTGCCCTAGTGGTCTGAATTTGGCATGAGCCTGCAACTATATCAGCCTGCCTCACTTCAATAGATGCCTCCCTCCGGTGTCCAAGGATCAGTGAGTTTGGTAGAGACCTTTTCCATTGTGGCCCCAAAGGCTGTGGAACTCCCTGCAGTGGATCTGCAGCAGGCTGCCAAACCACAGTAGTTTCGGAAGGCTAACATACCTTTTCCAAGTGTCTTATTCTTGAATTAAGTTTTATTGGTTAGACTGGGTTGCTGTTGCTGTGGAAAAAGGTTTTAATGAGTTGGCCAAGTATGCTTTTTATTGGATTTTATTGGTATGTATGGGAGGTGTTTTTAGGTTTTTGTTGATAATTTGTAATTTTCTTGTTAGCTTCCTTAAGCAACATGGAACTATTTTAAAATAAAATAAATAAAAATGAGATGATCACAAGATTCCAAAAATTCCATAGCCTTTGTAAGGACACCATGCATTTGCTAGAAGGGAATGTTCCAAAGCAGCGGTTCCCAATTAGCTAAGTATTGAGGGCCCCCTGTTTTTCAAAAGCCAAGCCATGGACCTTTTGAAAAACTTTCTATCCCTGTGTTTGAAAATAACCTGGGTGGGTTTTCTGGACCTCATAGGGTTCAAGGAACTCCCAGTCAGGAACCGCTGCTGTATTGAAGGCTGTTTTTACTTGTGCCTGAATGGAAGTTTATATGATGAAACTCATAGTCACTGCTTTATTTTCACTTGCACTGAAGCTTTCCTGCAGTATTTTGCATGTATTTATACCCCTTTCTGTGCACTTAAACACTGTCTCTTGTGATTGACCTTGTTGTAAATTCCTTTAGAAATCATGGTGCTTAAGGGTATATAAATTGTTGAAAATATTTGATTATTAGAGAAAGGAGTAGAGAAGCATGAGGCTACTTGAAGAAAACCAAGAAATATCAGAATTTAAAATAAAAATAGTACAGAAATTTCCCCAAATCTCCACTTGTATTTTAGGTCACTAGACTCCAATCTCACAGTTAATATTAATGTGTATATTTCTTTAGCATTTTTAACTTGCAAATGAGATTTTATGTACCTATCTTCTGTCTTATATTTAAATGTTAATTTAACTGTTGGGAGGGGTTTTAATTTTTAATATATTGTGTTTACAAATGGCTTCTGTTCTTTTCCAGAGTGCTGAGGCAGTAAAAAAGGCTAGAAGCTATTTGGAATTTGTGGAGGACTTTATTCAGGTTCCTAGGAGTCTTGTGGGTATGTAATAGTGATAAAACTTTTAATATCCTTGAATACCCTCCCCCTGCCTATTCAGTATGAAAATGTTGATGTCTCCTCACTCTTTAATGACACACCTGAACTACTATTTTGGTGGCTGATACACTGGAGTATATATAGAGAACAGGGCTGCACTAACAAATGGAGTATTCTGGATTATGGTTAGAGGAGCATGGGAAGGCTATTTCCTTGGAAGAGGAAGCAGGAAATTGAAGGAGATGTTATCCAGGGGAACTGAGTCCAAATAGATTCCCTACCCCCAGTTAATTTCTGTCGGGCTGGAAAGCAAGAGTAGGCAATCCTTCCCCTCAATTGTGCCTCTTCAGTCTACTCTTTTTGCTTCAATTATTGCCTTTCATTTTTCTTAATTTCTTCCTCTTTTTGCCAAAGGAGCTAAGAAGCCTCAAGTGACTCAGTTCATTATCTCCTTGCAGAGGCAGTGATCAAGTGCAGCTCCACTCCTCTCTCCTGAGAGAGAAATTTTAAGCAGATGATACCTATTGCTGCTCCACACTATGGTCCCTTCCTGGGCTCATTCATCTGCCTGCCATCCTTGGTGTATTGGTCGTGATACCGAGGGAGAATATAAATATTTTCTCCCTTTGTCGCCTCATGACCAAGTTGTCGGTTTAGCTGCTGCCTGGGACTCATTCACTCTTCTTCCCTACCACCTGAGGACAATGCCTACTGATAACTTGAAGCATTGTAGTCTTGCCCCCTGGGGTCAGTGTAAGGTACAACCATTGTTCTGCTAAACATGGAGTAGGCTCTAGTAGAAAGTGACATGGGACTGGAGTGATGCTCCTCTAATCCTGCACATCAGATGTTGAGAGAAAAGGGTTTTTTTCTACATGGTGAAACTTCATTTTGAGTAAGACTGAACATTTGGTCTCACTGTTTCTGATTCCATCTGCCATGAGTTTTGGATCAGTTCATTGTTCATTGACCTTTTAACTTTTCATCTTCCTCCTGTTAAGAATTGTGTGTCCCAAGTAATTGCTGTTCCAGATTACGGGAAGGGAGCTCTCCTCCTTGGGTAACATCAACTTCTGCCTTGTAGTCTTGAGGAAGTGGACTTCCCTTTTTTGGAATGTGCCTCTCATACCCAGAAAAGAGACATGACTTGTTAAGGCAAAATATCCTCTTTTTCTTCCATATTCCTCAATAGTAATCAGTAGTCGGATCTGAGTGTTTGCTTGATTATAAACACGTTACAACAATCTTCTGAAAGTCCCTAACAGAGTGAAACATGGAATAACCTCATTGTTAGAAAATGTGTACAGTGGTACCTCTGGATACGAACGGGATCCGTTCCAGAGCCCCGTTCGCATCCTGAAGCGAATGTAACATGTGCGTGCGTGGGTCACATTTCGCCACTTCCGCACATGTGCATGACATCATTTTGAGCGTCTGCGCATGCGCGAGCGGTGAAACCCGGAAGTAATGTGTTCCGTTACTTCTGGGTCGCCGCGGAGCACAACCCGAAAATGCTTAACCTGAAGCGTATTCATCCCGAGGTATGACTGTATTGTGTTTTTAATGAACCCATTTATAAATAACTTTTATATTAATTATTTTGAGATTGTAAAGGGAATTTTTTTGTTCTCAGCCTTTCAGCTACTTTTATTGATTTCTTGAGAAATACTTGAGAAATCTCAATTTTTATTATTTTTTTATTAAAGGAAAAGTTATTGGCAAAAATGGCAAAGTTATTCAGGAAATTGTGGACAAGTCTGGAGTTGTGCGAGTGAGGATTGAAGGAGACAATGAGAACAAACTGCCCAGAGAAGATGTAAGTTTTAATTCTTATTTGGAATTTGTAATACATCCAAGGGGTGGCAGGGGTGGATAAATTGTAGTGGCAGAATGATAGAAAAGCCACTGCATTAGATTATTCTTTCTGCCTAGTGTCTGATGGACATGTCACTCACAAATGCTACTACATTGGCAGTAGGAACACAGGAAGCTGCCTACACAGAGTCAGATCATTAATCCATCTAGCGCAATATTGTTTATGATGATTGGCAGTAGCTTTCCTGGGTTTCAGACAGGGGTCTCTCTGGGACTGTCTGCATGTAAAGTGGTTTCTCTTCCATGAGCTGCAGCCTTTCCCCTTAGGGGTGCCATTTGATAGGTCAAAATGTTTAGTGGTGCCATGTGTGGGTTTTGCCAACTGCTATCTAACACCTTTTTGGTTATTTCAAGCTAAGGTTGTCTTGGCTTCAGACTTTGGCTCTGAGTATTTAGGTTATAATTCTAACTGCAGTTCAGCTTTCTTCTTTGAAGATGTCTTAATACTAAAAAAGTTGGGTAGTGTGATAATTTGCTGTGTTTATGTGGGGATGCTCCCTACACCTATCCCCTTTATCCACTGAGAGAAGGCCCACAGGTAGACTGAATCCATGGTATAGAAAGTTGTAGAAATTCCCATTAAAAATAAAAACAGGCTGCAACCTAGTGCACGGTTACACTTGTCTAATTGTACACTGGGTTGTAGGCATTATTTGCTTGTGACTCTCTTTGTGCTTCAACAATATTACATTTTATCTTTGTAGGGAATGGTTCCGTTTGTCTTTGTGGGTACTAAAGAAAGCATTGGGAATGTCCAAGTGCTTCTTGAATACCATATTGCCTATTTGAAGGTAAGCATTCTTTGTGGGAAAGACAGCAGTTTCAGTATCATGGGAATAGTATGACTTGTGAAGATGATCAATATTGCATCTGGAAACACAGAAGATAGCAAACAGCATACCCCAAATGCTCTGAAAGCAATGTGGATGAAAGTTGTCTCAAAATCACGGTATTTTTCAGTGCATCATAACATGTTGATTTTCGGTGGGTCTTTCAGTCTACATCTCAAAGCATTACTGCCCTGAGAGCACTGTGCATTGAATAGTCCTAATTGAATCTTAGGACTAAACGAGCTGTTTGCTGCTTTGAATATTGTTACAATAGAAATAGGGGGTGTAAGTGTTAAAAAATACATTTTTTTTAAAAAATAAAAACAGTGGACTTGCCTTACATTTAGTGTAACTGTCCATGCAGGAGGTGGAACAGCTGCGGATGGAGAGGCTCCAGATTGATGAGCAGCTACGTCAGATTGGCATGGGGTTCAGACCTTCATCCACCAGAGGTCCCGAAAAGGAAAAGGGTTATACCACAGATGAGAACAACCCTTCCTCTGTACAAGGCTCCAGATCCTATAGTGGAAGAGGTAGGGGACGGAGAGGCCCCAATTACACCTCTGGCTATGGTAAGTTATGCTTAAAGATCAGTTTTGGAAGTCGCAGGTTCAGTCCCCGGCATCACCTACCTGACACTCTCGAAAGGCACTGCCAGTCTAGAGTAGACAGTGCAGGAATTTGCTTCGAATAGCCACTGATTAGATACCAAATTTTGATCTGGAAGCTCGTATAATTCTTCCCTTACAAGCATTTCAAAGAATAATTTCACACAAGTGTTTAAAGCATGAATAAGATAAATTTCTTTTGTGGTAGAGATGAAAGGTAGAGGGGGTGACCTTTCAGCCTAGGACCTCATCATACTCTCCAGCTCATTTCTCACACGTTTGGTGCTTCAGATCCAGGAGAATCTAGTTTTCACTTCTTAATTTTCTAATTTAGTTAGGTGCATTCAATAATGAGCAATGTTTGCCTCCTAGGCAGCCCATTATGAAATTTGGCCTGCCTTGTTTCTGTCAGCAACAGTGAATGGTGTTAAATTAGCCTGATAGTCTAATTATTTCAATCAGTAATGGTGGTCTCAGGGTTCTATACTCCCATCTGTGAATTAAATTGGTCTCATGAGAGGTCACATGCATATCACTAAAAGGTGATTGCACACACAATCCCATTAACTATGTTCAATATTGGTAGACCTTCTTGAACCCGTATGAATGTTTGAGCTTTATGAAACTCAATGAAATCTTAAGAATTTGGGGCCTAAAGTTCTCCTTCACTGGGTTAGATTGACCAGTGGTCTAACCCAATATAAAACAGCTTCCTTTATTCCTCTTGAGTCCCATCATCTGCAGTATGGGAAACCATAATGCTGCTTAACTGGCAGGGCTGTTGTGAGGAACACAACTAGAAAATTATAAAAACGTAGTGGAGGCCAAGCTGTGAATGGTGGACATGCTGTGCTTTGAATTTTATTACCAGTGTTCGATAGCTTTTAAAAGATGTTGACACTTAAAGAAATCCAGAGTTGTCACTTAACTTGGAAATCAAGAGCATCAAAAATAAATAACTGAATGCGAACTTCAGAAATAGTCTTGTCTGTTTGGCAGCATACTTTCATACTTGTTTCTGCAAACATTAACAAAAATGGGTATACTATAGCTGAAGTGTGTATTGAGGCTTGTTGTCCACCTTGGTCTAAATTGATCAGATCTTTCAAATATATCATTTAGTGATAGCTACAGCAAAATAATGATCTCCTAACAAACAAATGGGTTGCCTGATAAGGTACTGTATAGCTGTTCCAATGAGTGCGTAATTTTACTGTTACTTTATATGTGGTAATGTGATGCGTAAATTCAGGTTTAGAGTTGTTTTCATGCCAGGCTCCGCATACATGTTTCTACGTTGCTTGTGAAAAGAGGTGGCAGCAAGTTCAGAATCTTGGACCTCTGTATGCACTGTGGACAAAGTTTTCAGCAGCCAGCCCTTCGTGTTTCTGCTTAGTGGGATACTTGGGAATGATAGGCATGTTTGGAAGTAGAGGCTTCCATTTCTGTTGTTTTTTATGCCACCACTTCAAGAGGTTTGTGGCTCTCTTTTTAAGCCTTTATAGTTGTTACATATTGACAGCCCAAGTTCTAATGGGAAATCCTGCCCTCCTCCTTGTTTACATGTTTTGATCTGAATTAGTAATATTTCAATTGTCCATTACATAATGGCATCATAGTGTATGTTTCCATAGGAACATCTTTTATCCCTCCCTGCCATGTTGTTTCGTAACTGAGCACTGTGGGCTATTAATAACCCAAGACCATCAGCAGTAGGGTTTTAGACTGACTGAAAGACTTTTTGTTTGTGTTGGCAAGGTGTTCTTTATCTGTAACAGATTGAGATGTATGAATGTTACAAGAGTAAAAGTAGTAGTTTAGGTGTTCAGTTAGCTCTGCATTCTGTGGCAAATAGATAAATTACATGGAAATTGTGTTGAAGCTAAGGTGAAATGGAAGCATCCACAATTACATACATAAGAAGCCCCTTTCAGATCCACTCTGATATGGTTCCCATTAGTGATGATTTATTCTGTTTTGTGTGTATGAATGAAGTTTTTCTACTAATATTCAGTATTAGATAGTGCAGAAATAGGTTTACTTCACATGCTATGCATCCACCTTGGCATCTAGTTTGTGCTGCAGAGTTCAATTTCTCATCTAATCTGCCAAGTTAGTTTTTTGTACTGAGTTCTGTTATGTGTTTCAGACACTGGTGCACTGGCCTTACGTTGTGCATTCTTCTGGGAATGGTACTTTTCTTCTTGTAGAGCAAACGTTTATCCCTGAATGTTGTGCCTCAGAAAATTGCATGTATCTCAGCTTTCCTTGCTAGTGGCATTCTTCTGCTAAAATTCAAGATTGTACTAGAACAGTACTTGATTATCACCTCTCCCTCTCATTTATTGTAAAGGAACAAATTCTGAGCTGTCTAATCCCTCTGAAACAGAATCGGAAAGGAAAGATGAACTGAGTGATTGGTCATTAGCAGGAGATGATGACAGGGAGAGTCGACATCAACGTGACAGCAGAAGGCGTCCACCAGGGGGAAGAGGGCGCAGTGTTTCTGGAGGTCGTGGACGTGGTGGTCCCCGCGGTGGGAAGTCCTCTATAAGTTCTGGTATGTATTTGAGAGGCGTATTTTGTGTGTTGTGATTGCACTGAACTACTTCCCTGTTTCTTGATGATGGTTGATTTTTAATATTTTAAAGTTAAAATATGAGATGAAAACAGTGTCAAATGAAAACGTGCTCTTACTGGTTTTGTCATTTCCTTTAAGTGCTGAAAGACCCAGACAGCAACCCTTACAGTTTACTTGATAACACAGAGTCTGACCAGACTGCAGACACAGACGCAAGTGAATCACACCACAGCACTAACCGGCGTAGGCGATCTCGTAGACGAAGAACTGATGAGGATGCTGTCTTAATGGATGGAATGACAGAATCTGACACAGCATCTGTTAATGAAAATGGCTTAGGTATGTAAATAGCCTTATCAGCTCTGTCTAAAAAATATAATAGTCGCTCTTCATTTTCTTAACTAGCACTTTATTCTACTTGTTTCCTTGTGATTCAAAACTGTGTCCTCATCTGTTTCAGTATTAAAAGATTTTAGCTCTATATTGGACTGGAATATTTTGGACCAAATATTTGGAAAGGCTGGCTTTCATTTGATTGTTGTCTTAGAGATGCTTTCTGATATCCATGTCATATCTAGGGTTTTGCAACCCTATCTCTGCTACCCTGTTACCATATATGCATCCAGTCCAATTTTAGCCTTAGTCCATAGTAATGGGATAGCAGAGCATACATTGAACTCATTCATAAGGCTTCATTCCATGTAGATATCTGCTATCGACTTGGTGGGAAAGTCAGAGGAGCCAGGCCTTAATTTCATATTTGTTTACTTCTCAAGAATTAGAGTCCCCTTTGCCTTCTCTAGGTCTTAAGTAGTTTTATTGCTGAATTTGCTAAATGAACTTTGGGAAGAAGGAAATTGAGGCCAGGAGAAGAGTCCCTATTTCTTGCTCCTCTAAGGCTGTGATTCAAAACATTCTTAAAAATAAGTAGGGCTTCTGTGTATGTGATTTCAGGTCTAGTATTTATTTTCAGTGTCTAAGAATAGCCATTTACAGTTTAAGCAAATCACACCAAGGAAAAAATATTTCTCATGAGATGGGGAATTAATTTCTTTAGCCAATATTTAACTTTCAGTACCAACTTAGTGATAACAGCTTAAACAGAGTTGCAGTTGCTTTTTCAGTCCCCTGATGTGTAAGTTTTTTGCGCTACTTAGCCATTCTGAATACTTTTTCCTTTGAAAGTGTTGTGTGCTAAATTGCCAGCAGAACAATTTGGTCACCGAGAAAGTTCATAGTAAAACTTTGCAATTGCAGATGATAGAGACAAAAAACCCCAGCGACGCAATCGTAGTCGCAGGCGTCGTTTCAGGGGTCAGGCAGAAGATAGACAGCCAGGTAACTCGAGTGGAGAGGTGAACCACCTCGGGTCACAAGCATGAAGGAATGCTCTGCGTTTGCTGTTTGTGTACCTTCTAAAATATATGTAAAGCTGTCTTTTGTAAATAATGATTGCTTAATACTAATCAAACTGCAGGATGAGAAATGGTCAGTGGGGCATGTTCTAGTTTTTATAATGAAACTAATACTGTTGCCTTTTATTTGGTGTACTTCCACTGTAAAAGTGTGCATAGACGTTACTTAATCTATGTTGAAATTAGAGGACAACAATAAATGAATGTCATAGGTGCAAGGGTATGTATGCCATGTTGCAAGTAACACTGTCAGACAGACTCTCCCTTCGGCCTTCTGGCATCTTTCCTTAATATGCATAAAAGGTAGGTTAGCCAAGTTCTAGTACTTTAGCAAACCAGGATGCATGGAGCCTTCCTGTCCTTTGAATCAAACTTACATCTCTTGCTTTTAAGAACACCAGAAATCACAACTAAATTAAAATAAAAAATTGTTGCATGTTCATGCTTTGATAATTGTGGTTTGACAGATTTTTTAAAAAATGCATACTAACACCTTGCATATTTTAAAGGTGTAAAATAACTTTCAGTATAATTCTAAGTGTTGTACCTGTAAATTCCTCGTTTGTTGTGCTAAGTATTTTTTTTATCCCCCCCCCCCTAAAATGTAGTGTCTGTATTTCACTCAAGTAATTATTGGTGTTGTGTTTGCCATATTATCCCCACACAACAGCTTAAACAAGCTATTGAACAACAGAGGCATACCACACACAATCCATCTGCAGCTTTTGTCAAATGATGGCGTAAATTTGCTTCTGCAGAAGCATAGAATTGGAAAATACCAGAAAGTCATATAGAAGGGCTGTTGCTAAGTGACAGAGCCCATGCTTTCCATATAAAAGGTCCCAGTTTAGTCCCCAGCATAGAATCATAAAATTTTAGTGTTGGAAGGGACCATTCTAGTCCAACCCCCCCGCAATGCAGGAATCTCTTTGGCCAACGCTGGCTTCAAACCCACAACCCTGAGATTTAGAGTCTCATGCTCTCCCGACTGAGCCATCCCAGGACCAAGGTAGGGCTTCTCCAGGTAAGGCTGGGAAAGCCTCCTGCAAGAAACCCTGGAGAGCCATCGCTAGTCAGTATTGACAGTACTTAGCTAGAGGAACCAGTGTCTGACTCGGTATAAGGGAGTGCCATATGTTTATAGGCTCACATCACCTTCTAAAAGATGAACTGTTGTGAAAGCATATTGGGTTCATCTTAAATTTTGGACAAGCTAATGTCTGGCGGTCATTGTCAAATGAAGCATCTTCAGAAACATGGCTATGTCTGCACTGTCAGGTTTTTCTTGCTACACGTTGTGCATGTAGATGTGCGATCCAGACTGCTGCATTGAACTGCACTGTGCTCTTTTCCCTCTCCAGCATAATGGTTGTACATTGCAATCTAAAGGAACACATGTTCCCCTTATGTGAATAATTTTAAGCAGAAGCAGATTGCTTACATGCAGCTCTGCAGCACTGTTAATGAAGACCACATTTAACCCCCTTGGCAATAACAGGAAACTCGAACCTGTTCCGAAGCTATAATTGGTGTGCACAGCTGTTCTGTTTTGTGGTTTTATTTTATGATTTTAATGCAATTTGTATTTTAATTGTGATACTTTTATAACTCTTCATTGGGGCATTTGGTGAAGAGCAGGCTATAAGTACAAATAAATAAATGACCCTTAATGCTCAGTCCCGAAGAATTTCATCCTGGGCTGACACCCAGGCCATGTTGGTCAGATTGCCTGGCCCCGTATATCACCTTCCTCTCAACCTGGTCTAAAACCACTTTGTATTTTTCAAGCTTATTATCAAAATAATTTTCCTTCGGTCTCTTTGAAGAATGTAATTCAGAAAGCTGTAAGCACTACCCTAGCAAACCAATCATTTTCTAGTAATAATGCAGCCTATAAACAAAATCCTGTCCTGCTTAAGACATGAATAGGGAAACCCTTTGGAAACAAATAGATTTATTGACTTGATTAGGATTAGTTCTGAGTAAGAAGCTCTGGGGAGGCTTTAGATTGCCCCAGACAATTAGTAACTTGACAAATAATTCCGTTTGTAGTTGAGAATCCTTCAGAGACTATCAGTATACAGTACTAAATGATAAAACATTCAAAACATATGTAGACAGTTGGGGTTTAGAATCTCCCTCCCTCCCCACACCCAGCAACCATTCCTGAAAGCTTAGGAGTTTTGAGAAATGTATTGTGATATAAAAACCTTATAAGGCATCTGCATAAATGGGCCCTGTTGGTTTGCAGCCAGTGGTGGCTGCTCAGTTCTTAAACATCAAGTAATTTAAGCAAAAATAATTTTTCTCTCTCTCCTCACAGTAACAGTTGCTGATTATATATCAAGAGCAGAATCTCAGAGTAGACAAAGAAACCTCCCAAGGGAAACACTGGCCAAAACCAAGAAAGAAATGGTAAGAAAAATTACAGGAAACAAAATGATAGAGTTAATGGAAATACGTGGTCTCCTCCCGTGTGTGTATAGAATAATTTAATCATTGACACCACAACATCAGAGGAGAGTGACTACAAATGCTGTTAAATGTAGTTGCCCATCACGCTGGTGCTGATACACACTAGGGAAACACAGTCTGGTACCATCATAGGTCCTTACATTGACCTACATAGCAATTTTATAGGATCCTGTATCTAAATCCTTCCCATTAGTGCTGACTGCCAAACCTTTGTTAGTCTTTTGTCTCAAGTGAGCTGGTGTGGGGAAGGTGACGGCATGTTAATATTTTACATAATAGGACAATTAAGGCGGGAGTACTTGGCTACATATCAGCCCTGCTGGGTCACACCAAAGGCCCATGGGATCACAGCCTTCTGTTCTCACAGCAGCTAACCAGGTGAGAAAGCCCATAAGCTGGACATGAGCCTAATAAATGTAAATGTGTTCAGTGAAGAAGGCTTATCCTGTTCATCTATTATCCACCTATGAAAAATAATGGTGGTTCATGTCCCTGTTTCCTCAGAGACAATTCATGTATGGAATTCATTGTCACAAAATGGCTTACGCAGCAAATGTTTTTAACTGAATTTTAAAATAAACGATTTAATTATTTGAAAAGGTAATGGAATTGACAAACAGAATGCTGTAGGTAAGAATATAGAGGTACCAGAAATCAAATGTATTAATTTTTATTTAAAACTTGCTTTTCTAGTAACATCTGAATTTGAGAGGAGGGAAAATAGTAGCTTACGTTATGAATGATTCATGCGTCGTCTTGTCACTAATTTTTTTAAATTTTATTTTCAGACAAAAGATGTGATTGAAGAAGTTGGCCTTTCTGAAAAGGCCATAAATGGCCCTGCAGTTATTTCTGAGACTGAGCCTTCCAATTTGCAGCATAGTCCTGAAGAAAGGCCTAGTACTGTACAAGAAGATGGGAATAAACAGGACGAAGCTGTGCTGAATGGTGTTTCATAAACAGAGTTCCTAGTTTACAGTTCTTTTACATTTACATTTTACAATAGTGCTTGTATAAGCTTGCCAAAGATAGAATATGGATCGCGAGTCTTGACACCGCACTTTCAGTTCCTCCATTTTGGAAAACAGAACGGGGAGGGATCCTGAAGAAATCCAATGTTGAACATACTTTGACACCTACTGTGTTATAAATATCATCAGATGTGCCTTGAGAATAGTATATGTAACATTTAAATAAAAACAAATTGCTGGCTATAGGAAATGTTATTTTGTTTTCAAAATATGGCAGAGATGTGGGGGGATCCCTAACGTAACCTTCTTTATGAAAGCATTAGCTGCTTTTGTTACATTTTTAATAATATGCAACCACTTCTTCACCTGAGGAAAACTAGAAAAAAAAATGCAGTCTAAAATATTTTGCACTGAATTGTAATTTCTCCATTAGTTTAGTCTGGAAACTGGTCTGTTTTAATACATTGTTTTTTAAATGCTGTATGTAGTGGGGAAAATACTGCAGACCACTGGAATACATTTATTAAATTCTCAATCTGCAGGGATATTGGGCGACATTGGCAGTGACTGTTCTACATTGAGGCTTTGTTTGATTTATTTATTAAACTGTACAGTATTTAAAAATCAAACATAGCTTTAGTTAAAACACTTGAGCTGAATTAGTCATGTCCATTAAGACATAACCAGAACTACTGAAAAGATCAATTTCCAGAAAGTTTATTCTGTATAAACTACATACGTTAGTCCTTAGAGTATTTTTATTTTTGTTTTGGTTGTTTGATGTGCAATATGTTTTTGTATGCTGGTAGAAAAATAAATAAACTTTGATCTTCCACTGGTTGATCCTTAAGTACTTGCCAAGGTCATGAATTTATTACAGCAATCTATTAAAGATTTAGAGTGAACTCTTTGTGACAAGGCTACTTACCACCTGTATGAGCTAAATGAGACAGGATGGCAGGAAATCAGTGACTAGGTTTACCTTGGTTCCTTAAAAGTTTCAATGCAGCTAGGGATCATCTTCCTGATCTAAATTGCCCCCTACTGCATTTTACCCCAAGGAGAGCGGCAAACAGCTGCAGTCAGGGGTAATTGCAATTAGGAAGGAAAGATTAAACCTTTTTTCCAGTGCCTCAAAACCGATCATTTTTTCTTTAAAAATGTATTAAACCACTACCCAGGAGACCCACATGCCAATCCTCTGCCATGTTGTCTAGTTTGATCCAAAATACAAAATAATCATTGCAAAAAATAGCTTTTCACATGCACTAGAGGTGCATAACAAACCACTTATTTTGTGCACATTAAGACAATTATCCCAACTAAAAGAACTCTAGTATGGTAATAAGCTACATGAATTGGGTAACAGATTTAAATGTTACCCTACCCATGCAGATAACTGTCCTTTACCTCTCGTTCCTTTACTCTTGAGTAGAAATGTTTTTACTGATACCTTGGAGTGCGTGAACCTGGAATCGGCATGCTTTATTGAGTATGTACACCAGGCATGTCCAAAGTCTGCTTCTGGGGCCCAATCCAGCCCACCGGACCTGTGGCAGTTCAACAACTTCAATCCTCAAAAAAGCTACCAACTTTGGTTGGTGCTTTGGTCAGCCCTCACAGCCTTTTACTTCATCAAATCTGGCCCTCTGAAAAACGTTTGGACACCACTGATGTACACCATACCTGCAAAATACATTTTCTCCCTCAGAAGTATCCTGGGCACCACTATTGAGGGTTGCTGGGAATTGTAACTGGGACCTAAATTAGTGCCCAGAATTCTTTGAGGGAAAAATGTGCTTGCTTTGGAGACATGTAGCAGCCACGTACCACTGCCTTTCATGTTTTGTTTCCTTCAACTGACAAGGCTTATGCTATAAATATTGCTATGAGTTAGTGGGGGAACAAAGAACCTCTAGATCCCTGGGTGTCCCATTTCTCTAGATTCTTGGGTGCTGGGGTTTAATCAGAGCCTTGATAATTAAGGTAAGCTGACATGATGAGCTTGTTTTTCTGCCAGGCAGAGGGAGATGATGGCCCTGCCATTAACCCATTGCAAAAGGCCGCCTAAAAGACAAAAGACTTAAGTAACTGAGGGGGAGGTTGCCAGGGCAATGTGAACATAATGTCACACAGAAAAAAAGTCCTTTTACACAGGTTTTTTGTCAAGGAGATCTGGGAATGAGGAAGAGGAAATTAGGCAGAACTCCATGCAGAGGGGGCTGCAGTGAGGGGGGGGGCATGAATGGCTATGGCTTTGGACCAAAACTTGCTGAAGCTATTACAGGAGCAATGTACATAATGCTCTGTATGCCCCTACTGAAGGCTTCAAGTGTAAATGTGTGTGAATAAACCATATTTCTAAGACACTGCAGCTTCCGCTATGCCTTGATTCTCCAACAAAAACCACCCTGGGTGAATGCCTGGAACCCCTGGAGTCTTCTTACTGCTTGGCAGAGAAGGGTGGTGGCATGTAACATACTGCAATCATGTTAAAACCTTGCCCTGTGAAAGCAAAGGTCTTTTAGGGCCAGCCCAGTACCTACTGTTAACAGCACAACAGCAGGGGAACTTTGGCTGTAAGCAAAAGCTGTAAGCAAGACTGGATTTTCTGGTGTTTTGTATTGAACTACATGGTCACTTTTTTTAAATAGCTGAATAGGTAACTTTGCTTGGGTGTAGGATAGTAAATAACTCCAGAAGACTTGTCTGATTTTGATCTGGCTGCTTTATTTCTGCTCTTCCATTCTCCAGCATTCACTGATGTTTCAGGATGTTCAAAGATGCAGATTTTGAGAGAGGGGATGACATTCAGGTTAAGTTTTTCTTGTTACTAAGACTGTTGAAACGCGATGCGGAACCAATGGCCCCACTAAGGATGATTAACTCCAGTTCTTAGCAGCCCCAGCCAGCATGATGTACAACATATGGAAGGCCACAGGCTCCCCCATCCTTGCTTTCAAGGGTACACTGTGGGGAGGTCCCAATTCAGTCCTCATGCCTGGCAGCTGTTTTAAGGGTTCAAAGAAGGAGAGAGCCTGGAAACAGATCTGTTTCTGGTCAATGTAAGTGTTTTACAGACGTAATATAACAAATTTATTGCTTTGAAACTTGCAATTATAAAAAGCTAGGAATTTCATGATGGGAATAAACAAGATAGACGTTTTATAAAAGGGCAATTTGTACAACTGTCCAGACTTTGAAATAAATTAATTCAAAACACTACATGATGAGACTTAAAAGGTGGTTGTGGTTTCTTTCGCAACCCAGTCTTGGATGTTGGTGTTACCTTGCTAATCCATTACTCACACCTGAATATAGATTCAGGTCTCTAAATATAAGCAAAAAGATGAATGATACGACCAATACTGGAGCAAACAGTCCCTCCTGGCACAAACTTCATCTTTTGTCAACAATAAGAATAAATTTTAAAAATAAAGCCATTGATCAGATGGTGTGTCTTCATTTCTTAGCTTGACCATCCAATAAGTCTTTAGCTTCATTAATTTTGGCTGCGACATACGGAGAACCTCCTGGCAAAGAAAAGAAAAAAGGATGTCATACACCACAAAAGGGAATATTTGTCCCAACCTTTTGATACGTGCTATGGTCTAAACCACAGAGCCTAGGGCTTGCTGATCGGAAGGTCGGCAGTTCAAATCCCCGCGACGGGGTGAGCTCCCGTTGTTCGGTCCCAGCTCCTGCCCACCTGGCAGTTCGAAAGCACGTCAAGTGCAAGTAGATAAATAGGTGCTGCTCTGGCGGGAAGGTAAACAGCATTTCCATGCACTGCTCTGGTTTGCCAGAAGCTGCTTAGTCATGCTGGCCACATGACCCGGAAGCTGTCTGCAGACAAACCCTGGCTCCTCCGGCCTATAGAGCAAAATGAGAGCGCAGAGTCGTCCGCGACTGGAGCTAACGGTCAGGGGTACTTTTACCTTTACCTTTATACATTTATGTATCATGACAGGAATAAAATCCATTTCAGAGTGATGGACATAGGGAGAACCTTCAGAATGACATCAGAGGATGTGCTATTAGCCTGATTCCATGATTCTATTAATATGATTCTATAGAGTTGAAAGGGAACCCCGGGTCATCTAATCCAACATCCTGCAAGGCAGGAATCTCTTGCCCAACGTAGGGCTCAAACCCTGAGATTAAGGGTCTCATGCTCTACTAATTGAGCTGCTCTATACACTCAAGCAAAGTACCCAAAAGAGGACCCTTTCACTCCTACCAGAAAAGATCACATTTTCTCCTTAGCACAACACTTGAAGACTTCCCATCTGACTCTGCAGCATGGTCTCATACTAAACAAACACTGACAAATGTCAAAATTTATCTCATTTACCTTTATCAGGATGATTCAAGAGCATGATTCGTCTGTGAGCTTCTCTGATTTTTCCTTTATTAGCTGTAGGACTAGTAGTTAAAACAAAACAAAAAAGATCAGTTCCAGGTATGTTCAAAAGTAGCAACCTATAGATAATCTGTCATCAGGGATGGGCTGCTGCTCCCTTGGCCTGTTGGCACTAACTTGGCCCACTTGTATCAGACATCCAAACATCACTATTAATGAGTTACACACAGCATTCTTGCAATGCAGCCCTAGCTAAAAAGTTGTATGCACATTCCACAATATTTACAAAATTCCAGCAGCAGGCACAAAAAGAAATTGTCTCTCCTACTTTATTAGTTTGTGGCTACATGAACAGACAGATGAAATGTTTTCTCCCCTGCTTCTATTGTTATTTCTTCTGCTGGTGTGTTACATACTCAAATAACAATTTATTTATTTATTTGTTTGTTAAAGTATTTATATAATGCTGTATCGTAAAAATATATCACAGCGGTTTATAATGATATAAAACCAGAACCGAACAATAGCATAAAGTGTCAAAAACAAGTTAAAAGCAAAGAAAGAAATTAAAGAAACATCAACAGACCATGGGGGGGGGGGGTACCTGCATAGGCCTGGTGGAATGTACAGGTTTCCAGAAGATGACTGCTGAATCTCTGCTCACAGATTGTTCCACGAGACTGGGCCGATGACACTAAAGGCTCAATTTCTCATTTTCACTCTCGGGGAATGACCAGGATGATTCAGCAGACTGGTATGTTTCCTCTCTTCAACTAGACAAGCCCTACCTTTAACACAGGACCCAAAATGCTGGAGACCACTTATGTACCTCAGCCTAACCTGACTTTTGTGATGCTCAATGGTTTGGGACAAATGAATTTGATTGACTCTGAAATTTCATATACCAAGCATACACCAGAGAAAGTCACCAAGAGTCGTTGGGTCCCTGCGTCTTTGAAAACCTGAAATTCTTTCTTACCTCACTCCTAATATTAAAGCAGCTTCCCGCTTGGTCATTTTGGGTTCAAATCCTCCTCTGTAGTAGGCACTGAAGGCCTAAAATAAGATGCATTTAAAAAAAAGGCATTATGCAAAATGAGCAAGATAACTGTGTGACTAGCATCATTATTTGGTTGAGTCACTAGGTGGTACTAGAAACAGTTGCATCTAGTCAGCTACCTGTGGTTGTTCTGTTCTTGTTTAAGAGAAATAATGACATTCTTGTCTAGCTTCCTGACTGGTGTGTGCAGTGCCTAGAGAAGGCTAGACCATTTCCTGTATTTGAGGCCCCTACACATAATATTTTTTTTTAATGACTTCAACCACACAAAACCAAAATACTCCCCCCTGCCTCAACTCAACAACCAAAAGCTGCTTCCTTACTTCAAACTTGAGAAATAACAACGATGCACATGAGAGAAAGTCTGAGAATTTAACACACAAATTGAATGGGATAACATTGCACTGTGAGAACTCATCATATTCCCAAATATTTAGACTGCAAGCCTAACTCCACTGATCTGGGAGTAAATCCATTAGAATCAACACAACCTACTTTCAAGTACACTGCAGGACTGCAAAGCATTTTTAAAAATACGGTTTGTGGTGCAGGGCTCTTTTTAGTGGGAAATTTAGAACTGCCTGGTGGAAGGTGATTGTAAACTTTGTGCAAAGCACTCACTGCTGTAACACACCTGTGTGTTTTCCTTGTATGTGCACACATGCTTTCGTGACATTTAGAAGTCTAAATAGAGTGGGAGAAAATTCTCAGAGACAGGACTTTGACAGCCCTAAAGCAGAGGAGTTTATGAATCAGCAGAGACATAACATGGAGCCTGGCCTGATAACGACTGCAGAAGCCATGGCAGAAAAAGATAGCGATGCAGTGCTGAGAGAAGAATTTGCAGCTCAACGTATCCACATTAAAGAAATGATTTCAGAAACATGGAAGGAACTTGATGTAAAAATTTTGATATTTTGTTAGATATTAAGATTCTTGATACAGATTTTGATATAACTGCTCCAATATTAATTGCGTTTAACCTTTAGGTAGAATGCATCAATGAATGGTTCCTGTGTGCCTGCATTTTGCAACCCTCGTGCTCTCTAGGCCATAAACAAGAAATCCTGTCTAACCCTGAAAGTGGCACAAATGACCATGAAGGATGTTTTCCTAAGTCTGTTTTGAGTAAACACTGGAGTGCAAATCCAGCATCTCTCCTCGAAGTTCTTTGACACGTTTTGGGAACAGGGAAGTTAAGACAGGGGACTGGAATGTCAATAAACACTGCTGAAGACCTGGTTGCCAAGGAAACTGTTAGAAGTGCAACATTTGAGACCCAAACAGTCTGGGAACCCCAAGGTAATTGCGGGTGAGTTGATACCAGTATGGAGCCATGCATCCCATGACCTGTAACCTTTCTTGATGTAAGTAGAAGGATGTGTAAAGATGTTTTGTGACCCTTTGTAGTCTGTGTTTGAAATCCCTATACAGTGGTACCTTGGTTCCCGAATGGCTTAGTTGTTGAACAAATCAGCTCCCGAACGCCGCAAACCCGGAAGTGTTCTGGTTGGCAAACGTTTTTGGAAGTCAAACGTCTGACACAGCTTCTGCGGTTTCCGATTGAGTGCAGGAAGCTCCTGCAGCCAATAGGAAGCCACGTCTTGGTTTTAAAACGGTTTCGGGAGTAGAACGGACTCCCAGAACGGATTAAGTTTGAGAGCCAAGGTACCACTGTGTAAGTTTTCTTCTACTGTGCCCCGTGGCAGTCTTTGCTAACTAGGAGTTCTGCTGAACAACTTGTTAGCAAGGCTGTCCTAATGCAATAGTTTTAATAAACTGGATCCCTACAGGACGCTGATATTGTTGTATTCTCTTGGTTCCGTTTTTTATTTAAAGGTGTTCCCTCACCTGCATAAGAACAAGTGGTGTAGAAATAAATTCTTACCACAAACCGATGACTCCTCATAGATAAGGCAAATGCACTGCCAGAAAAAGGTGGAACTGTGGAAACTGTGTAAGCAGCAATGATTTAAGCTTGCTACATAAAATACTTTTTAAACTGCTTAAAGAGAATATGGATATAAAATAAAAGCTGGAAGGTTTTCAAACAGACTTAAAAAAGGTTAACCTTTGTTTGAGGGGCTTCGCAAAAGGGGTAGAAAATAACCATATTGTGGACTTTAAAATCTAGTGACTTAAATGACTAATATGTGCCTATTCCAAGAGGATACTGAAAGAGCCCACAGAGCTCTATTAACTTGTCTGCATGTTTCAGCTCCTCCAAGAGGCATTATTATATGCTTCCATAGATTTAAGAAAAAGGATGAGATCTGGAGAGCACTTAGGAATGTGTAAATATAATTGTTGAAAATCAACCAATTATGGCTCTCTGGGACCTACGTATCTCAGGACACCTCGGGGGGGGGGGGAGGAGAGAATGTTCACAACTAGAACAATTTTGGAAGGAATTTTTGAAAGAGATATGTCAGACCGCAGCTCAGACAATCCCAACAACCCCAGCATTAGCCTTCATTTATATACTTCAGATGTAGACCAATTAAGAAGTAAGGAATGAACTAAACCTGGCAATTAATGAATATTGATTACTGGCATAATACAGTCTGGGAAACAGCCATAATGGAAAATCTGTCGCAAACTTTGAAGTTGGCAAGGGGCGAGAAAAAACAAGTTAATTCTTACACTGTATGGTGTGATTTTATTAAATATACAAATGAAACAACACATGGATGAGAAATGCCTACAACATATATTACAATATGGTGTATAAGCAGGCACTACTCATTAGCTCACTCCTATTGCTCTGTTTTCCATGCAGATTTATTGAAGAAGTCATTTTACGGGTTTACTGTAATCACCTCATTATTATGTACTGAAAAACAGTATGTTTAGTACAGGTATGGCCAAACTTGGCCCTCCAGCTGTTTTGGGACTACAATTCTCATCATCCCTGACCACTGGTCCTGTTAGATAGGGATGATGGGAGTTGTAGTCACAAAACAGCTGGAGGGCCAAGTTTGGCCACGCCTGGTTTAGTATTTTACTCCCCTAGTGACCCATTGTTTGTTAGCTAAGTCATGTTTCATTATTTATGTGTGTACAATTTTGTAACAGGAAAACAAAAACAAAAGTATTAAAGAAACAACAACTAATATGGCTGCAAAAGAAAATTGAGTAAAGCAAACTCACAGATTTTGGCAGCGACTGAAGAGCTTGCTTTACTTGTGGTTCCATTATCTTCATTGCTTGCAGTGCATAACGACCTTGAAGAAAAGGAAGACTTACTAAGTCTTGGAGAGTGATCTGCATGTTCTGGTGGTGCAGCTGACCAGCACCAAAGAGTTGGAATGACATTTTGTGCCTCCAAACAAGCTTTCTACCGGTGCAATAGGCTTAAGAGGGTGCAGAGGTGTAGTGATTTCTACTTGTTTCCAGCCTCTCTTTTGCTGCTGCTGCTTATTTCATTCTTCTTCCTGGGAACTCTATAGGAGTGCTGATGGCAACCACAGAACGAGCAGATCTGAAGCAGAAGTTTCTCTACAGGCTTTGCACAGATACATGCCTGCAACTTGCATATTGAAAGGACGCAGCCCTGATTATAAGGGGCCGCTGCCCAGATATACAATGCATGCACTACGTTTGAAGAGCCTAATATTTATCAAATCACAAACATAAGAATCTTTTACAGCTTCCTGGGACAACCAGTTTGTTGCTCTTTTTCTATTTTTCCATCTATTTTCCCCATCTATTTTTCCATCCCCCTACAGTTAACGGAAATCAGGGGTGGGCTTATGTGCACTGGCTGGGTCATATATAGATGACCCAACAAATTATTCTATTGCTTTATAAGCCTTTCAGAATCCAAGCTTTTTTATAAAAAAAGAAAAGAGAAAAGGTTCTAGTTCTCCTGGTTAGAGATAAACTTAAAAAAAGGAATTGCAGTATATTGTAAAAAGTCACCCCCCCCTGAAAAGCCCAATTTAAGCTCTTAAAAAGTGAAATAACTTATATAAACAACGCTGTTTAGGATTAATGATTTCACAAACAAGTCCAATATTTAATCATTAACCTATACCCGAGAAAGAGTATATTTCCTTGTGTTTACAAGTTCTAAGACTAAGCAGAAGCTAGTTCTCTGAAAATCTAATTTACCATATTTTTTGCTCTTTAAGACTCACTTTTTCCCTCCTAAAAAGTAAGGGGAAATGTGTGTGCGTCTTATGGAGCGAATGCAGGCTGTGCAGCTATCCCAGAAGCCAGAACAGCAAGAGGGATTGCTGCTTTCACTGCGCAGCGATCTCTCTTGCTGTTCTGGCTTCTGAGATTCAGAATATTTTTTTCCTTGTTTTTCTCCTCCAAAAACTAGGTGCGTCTTGTGGTCTGGTGCGTCTTATGGAGCGAAAAGGTACGGTATGTCAGCCTTTGCCAACCTGATTGTCGTGCTGGCTGGGGTTGATGTGAGTTATAGTCCAAAACATCTGAAGCGCACTAAGCTGGCAAAGACTTATCTATGCACTATGTTTAAGCAACACAGAGAAAACAAAGGCAGCTGTTCTTCAGCTAGTATTCCCACTAGAACAGAGCTGAGGCACCTGTGGTCCTCCATATGTTGTTGGACAACACCTCCCATCATCCTTGACCATTGGCCATGCTGGCTGGGACTGACGAGAGTCTCGATCAGCAACATCTGGGGAGCCATAGGTTCCCCATCTGTCCTAGAAGATCACCAAAGCTGCAGCAGCTTCAAAGGAAAATTTAAAATCGTTATAATTTGGGATGGCACTCTAGTGTCAGAATCAAGCACTTATAATAAGATTTGGACCAGAGATTCTAAATTCGTAGGACAGAACCCTCTAGGCTGATTAAGCTTTGCTACCTGAAGCAAGGGGACGCGGGTGGCGCTGTGGGTTAAACCACAGAGCCTAGGACTTGCCGATCAGAAGTGCTGGCAGTTCGAATCCCGGCAACGGGGTGAGCTCCTGTTGCTCAGTCCCTGCTCCTGCCAACCTATCAGTTCGAAAGCACATCAAAGTGCAAGTAGATAAATAGGTACCACTCCGGCGGGAAGGTAAACGGCGTTTCCATGCGCTGCTCTGGTTCGCCAGAAGCGGTTTAGTCATGCTGGCCACATGACCCCAAAGCTCTGCGCCGGCTCCATCGGCCAATAAAGCGAGATGAGCGCCGCAACCCCAGAGTCGGTCACGACTGGACCTAATGGTCAGGGGGTCCCTTTACCCTTACCTGAAACAAGTGATGGACTGTTTGGGCAGAAACTCTGAAAACAATAGCTGGAGGAGGGAGTTAAGTTCCTGCAATTTATGTAAATCCTAAAACAGTCAGATGAGTTCTGTTCTCAGGCAAGAAAGTAAGAGGACAAGGAAATAAGCACACCTAGTGACCTCCTAATATATTATTTAATATTTGCCACAAGCCACAGATTTTAATGTACTGGAGTCAGATGTATGCTCTCATGTGTGAGGTCAAAGACTCAGCAACAGTGATACTATCAATTTACAATGCAATACCATTCAGAGCACTCAGAAATAAAGCCTGCATATAAAATTCTGCATACAGAAATACAAACCTGCATATCCAGCAGCAGCTATTGTCAGACCGACTGCTATCATAGTAGTAGCCTAAGAAAGGAGGGTGGGGAGAAGGAGAGGCAATATCAGAAAATGAAAAAAAGCAGTAATTTCAGTGCATAAGTATTAATGCTACTGAGTCTCAGTGGGCTTGGGAAATAAAGGGAGAGAAAACACCCTGAAAAATGATAAAGATACCTGGGATACAGACTGCTCACACACTACAGAGAGCCTTAATTGGTAGCTTTCAACCCCTCCAGCATTTGAAACCATACACAGTATTCCTGCAACAGCTATTCTTGGGCAAAGAGATAAGTGCAGTTACTGAAACATGAATGACAGATATATTTACAGTCCCTGCCATCCACATTATTTAAGCAAGAGGAATCAGCAAAATTCAAGGGCACATCCTAACTAAGCTGGAGCAGTTTATGATCACTTCCCCCATAAACTGTGTGGCTGGTCAGGGGCGTGTGACCTGGAGAAGAGTACAGCAGGCTGGACTAAGGGGCCTGGTGAACTATATTCAGCTTCTGAGCCAGAGGGTCCCACCTCTTCTACAAGGAATGATCTATCTTGTACAGGAAAACTACTCCCCTCCCTCAGACACAAGCCCCTTCATATCTAGATTGATAAGAAATCCCACAATCAGAATAAAGATTTTTTTAGGGCAAGTCTTTACATGAAGATTTTTTTTCAGTGGATACCAATTTCAAACAACACAATGTGGAAGGAAGCCAGCTTAGTATGTGTACAAGGATAAAAATATTAGTGTTTAAGGTGCCAAAAGACTATTTTCTGGTTTTGCTGCAACAGACTAACACAGCTACCTGCACCACCGCTGGGAAATTGAAAATCGTTAATCCAAGTTCATATTACTCCAGAATGAGGCTGCAATCCTACGCACACTTTCTTGGAAGTGCCACTGGGTACAGATAGTGAGATTTACTTCTGAGTAAGCAAGCACAGAATTGAGCTGCAAGGCGCATACATCAGGGGGCCAGCCCAGTGCTTGCTTCCGTGTGTTGTATTTTTTGTGCAGCTCCCGTGCATGCTCCCTGCGCCTACCTCTTCAAAATGAAAGGTCAAATTACACACACACACACACACACACACACACACGGCTGTTCAGAAAAGACAGCCACCATTCCCTCTGCTCAACAAAGCAAAGAGAGGGGGAGAGAGAGAGAGAGAGAGAGAGAGAGGGAAAAGGCTTATTTCAGAAGAAAGGTAAGTTGCAAGGGAAGAAAGGACGAACTGCAGCAAATCATAAGAAGACTGGAAGAGTCTGGCTTCTGGATCAGCCCAGTAGCCCATCCAGTCCAGTATGCTGTTGTTAATTAAATTTGTATACCGCCCTATATGGCAGTAGGTCTCAGGGCTCTGCTCTCACAGCGGCCAGCCAGATGGGAAAGCCACATGCAGGATCCGGGCACAAGAGCACTCTTCTCCCCTCCCTCTCGTGGTTTCCAGCAACTGGGGCATTCAGAAGCATTTGCTGCCTTCAACAGCGAAGGGCAGAGCCAAGGTTGCCACCTGTCGTGTATAATGCAGGATTGTCCCATATTTCAATGCCAAAATGCTACATCCTGTATTGATAGTTTTATCCTGTACATCTTAGAATGGAAGAGTTGGAGGGGTCCCCAGGGTCATCTAGTCCAACCCCCTGCAATGCACGTCCTCTCTCTTTCTCTCTCCCAAATTAGGGATCCTCTCCAAATGCATGCGTTTGAAAGGGTGTGTTGAAAGGTCATGTATTTCAGCTCTGGGTAGCCAAGCACAGACAGATTTTCAAATGTGCGCATGCATGTGCGATGAATTCCAGGGGACCCATCCTGTGAGGCTGCAATGGGTTGCTTTGAGGTCACTTCAGGTGGAAAAACAAAACAAACCCGCCCCGCCCCCCTCTTATTTTGCCAGGACAAAGGTGGCAAAATATAGAGCAGGGGTCAGCAACCCTATAGAGCAGGGGTCAGCAACCTTTTCCAGACGTGGGCCGGTCCACTGTCCCTCAGACCTTGTGGGGGGCCGGACTCTCTCTATATATATTTTGGGGGGGTTAGAACGAATTCCTATGCCCCACAAATAACCCAGGGATGCATTTTAAATTAAAGGACACTTTCTACTCATGTAAAAACACGCTGATTCCCGGACCGTCCGCGGGCCGGATTTAGAGGGCGACTGGGCAGTATCCGGCCCCGGGCCTTAGGTTGCCTCCCCATGCTATAGAGCACAGCCATAGCTGCCGGAAGCCCCTCTCCCCACCCCACCCCCGACCCCTCGCCCCACCTCGTGCCAAGCGGGGTGGCGTTTTCTGAAAGGAGGGCCAGGACAGCGAGCGGGCGCGGCTCTCCCCGCACACTCACCATGGCTTCTGCTGGGTAGGGGGAGCAGCAGGAGGAGGAGGGGTTCGGTCAGGCAGACACTGGCCCGGGGAAAGCTCAGTCCCGCGTCCCCACCCCCACCGACGCTTCCCCACTACCGTCACCCCCCCGCCCCGCCACCCGGCTGGCTGCTGGCAGGCAGGTTGCGCGCCCTCCTGCCGTAAAGCAGAGGGGAAAGCCTGGCGCGTGTGTCGCGAAACGCCAAAGGGCCCGCCTCCTCCTCCTCATCCCTCCCGCCCCGCCCGCGCCCGGCGGGAATTGGAACGGGCGGGGGGAGGGGCGCGTGCCAGGCCAGGGAGCGCTTCGTGAGGGGGGGAGGGCGGAGGGCGGGAAATTTACCTCAGCGATAGGGGCTGAGGGGAAAGAGAATTTTTTTAAATAAAAAAAACATTGTTTCTGAGGTCATAAGAAGGTAGAAATCTGGTTAGCTTGGCCAGCTTCAAGGTAGCCGTACCTTAACTCTCATAGTGCAGCTATGTTATTATTATTATTTTCATTATCATTATTTAAATTAAGCTATTATTATTAGTGTCGGACACGACTAAACGACTAAACAACAACAAATTATTATTAGTGCAGCTTTATTATTATTTATTATTATTATTATTAGTGGAGCTTTATTATTATTAATGCCATTTTTATATTCTTTTATTCTTTTTATCATTATTATTAGGATTTTGTATTTCTATTTTGTAATTTTTATGCATTGAACCACTCTGAGATTTTCAGATGAAGGCCAGTATACTAATTTATTTTAAAAAAATATTAGTAATTATTATCAGGGCTTTTTTTTTTGCAGCCTCTCAGGTGGGCGCCATTGCCATTACAGTGGTACCTCGGGTTAAGTTCCGGAGGTCCGTTCTTAACCTGAAGCTGTTCTTAACCTGAAGCACCACTTTAGCTAATGGGGGCTGCTGCGCTGCCACCGCGCGATTTCTGTTCTCATCCTGAAGCAAAGTTCTTAACCCAAGGTACTATTTCTGGGTCAGCAGAGTGTAACCTGAAGCGTATGTAACCCGAGGTACCAAGGGGGGCATTTGTGGTGAGTTCTGGCACCTCTTTTTCTAGAAAAAAAAAATTGGTGTTTTTAGTTTTGAAATATCTCCATTCCGGGCTGAGCTTTTCAGGTTTTTGTGTAGACCGGCAAGACCAAAATTGTCATTTTTTTGGGAAATTTCAAGCCCTCTTAACTAAAAAATGGGATGAGATTTTTTTGTTTTAAAAAAAGATTTAAACTTTGTTCTGATCGTTGAACCAGTATACAAAAATTGGATGACACAAGGTAAAAAAAATATTAAAAATTGGATCACTTGATATGGAATGGCCCTTAAATGTATGTTTTATATCCTAGGTTTTGCCACGCAACCTGAAGACTAGTGGGACCCACCTCTTGAATTGTGCTCCTTAGGATCACACACATACATGTAAGCCTTGTATTTTGAACTGGGAGATATGGAAGATAACCACTTGAATACAAAATGTAAATGGGCAGCCAGTCACAAAACAGAAATAGTTTAAAACTCAGAAGCACCACAACACAGCCTGTGCTATAATGCATGCAGTACAGCAACTGAACCACAATTTCCAACTTGAAATATGAGAAAGTGAATGTAGAGTAGGGAATGTGCCATGACATGGATTTTCAGAGGGAATAATGTGCAGTAGACATTCTATTTCATTTCTGTTTCCATTTTCTCCTGCTCACACCTCAGATATTAGACCGTATATAACAAGTTTCGCTTTTTAGTCAAAGATACATGGAGATGCTGCAAATCTATGCATGTTTATGCTGTGAAATGTCCCACTGTGTGCAATGATTGTTTCCCAAGTAAATTAGCATTGCATTACAGCTTTAATTTTTAAATAAAACATACTGAAATAGAACATAACTGGAGAGGGAACAAGAGTGTGTATAATATACAGATTAAATAATGTATGAACAACTATTCTATTGCCCCTTTTCGGGATTCCTGGATATTGCTGCTAGCAATAATAAATAAATTTATAAAATTATCATATTTTTAGACCACTCTCAGGGCAGTGTACAAAAAATGTGCTAAAATGCAACATAAAATCAATAACTCACTAAAACCATAAAATTATCAACAACGGCAATAATTTTATTATTATACTCCACCCATCTGGCTGGGTTCCCCCAAACACCCTGAGCAGCCATCACATATAAAAACATAATAAAACATCAAACATTAAAAACTTCATGATACAGGACTGCCTTCTGAAGTCTTCTAAAAGCTGTGTAGTTCTTTATCTCCATGAATCTTCCACAGAATACCAGCAGCACATGATTCACAGCAAACAGACCAGGTCAACTGCCTAATCAGTTCCCAAAGAGCAAATTGAACAAGTATGCCTTCAGTAAACATCAAAAAGTAATTGGCAGGGGTACAAATATACCTTCGGTGGCAGAGAAGGCCCTGCTATGACTCACCGTGGAAGAAGTCATAGTGTAAATGGAACTATCAATAGAATCGCTTCTGCAGATAATGGGAGAGCTGCTTTTTTTAAAAGCCCAGGTTCCAAGTTATAAACAACAAAGTGAGCACCTTTATTTATTTAATAAAATTTATATACGTATAGCTTGATTGTAGAAGAAAAACCTCAAAGTGGCTTAAGGTTGGCCTAGTAACAAAAAGGCAGCCAGTGCTGTTCTTTTAGGAGCAGTGTGACCCATTCACACCTCGCTCCGCCACCCAGTATCTTGTGACTGCATTCTTCAAGGGCAGCCCCATATAGAACACGTGTGCCTTTCCCTTTCTCTCATAGACCACATATACATACTCACTTCATCCTCTCTCTTTCTCTCAATGTGCACATACAAACAGCTTGTACATCTCCCCACCTCTTTCTCTGCCCAAGTGCATATCTCTGGAACCCACCCTCCATACTCGGTGAACATTAAGAAAAGCCCCTATGTGGGGTGAAACAAGTGTTTGCCACCAGCTGCACATGATTGGCAGGCAACAAACTGAGGCAAACTGTGTGGTCTCAATTGCTTCTTCCTCCCTGTCATGGATGTTCGGGTGGGATGGACCCCATGGGGCAAAGCAGGGGTCTTGTCAGCAGCTGCACGTGGTTGGCAGGCAGCAAACAACTATAGGAATGAATTAGGCCAGAAGGCAAGCAGGGAACCAATCACTACTGATTCTTCCCCTCAAAAATTCTTTAAAACCATTCATGGTAGAAGGGGGTGGGCCTTTCAACTCCAGTTATTTGATTGACATATGGCTCCAATTGCCAATAAATGTTTTCCCATGCACTGGGTTGGTGATGTGGCGCCCACTCTGACCAGTGTTTACTTGTATTTCCTGTGAGATCTGTGCTACCTGCCTTCTAATCTTCCAGCCTGTTTCATTGACCAGGGCTCCTCAGAAACCCAAGGAACATTGGGGGCTCCACAGTGCTGAAGAGGGTGTTAAAGAGCAATCCTGCCAATGGCCCTTTCCATCTTGCCATTCCATAGTGAAACTAGAGCCTTGACAGAATAACCTGCCAACAGGAAAATCCCATAGAACACTTAGGAATCCCTTGGATTCAGAATGTTTCCAGGGGCTGGCCATATTAGTGCATTTCCACCCCTGCAAGGGGATCTGCCACACCCACCACAATTTCAAACTAACCAGGGAGCAATCAATCTGCATCTGGGGTTCTCCAGCACTTTAACTGAGGTTGCCTTTGCCATCTCAGGATGGGCAGTGGGATGAGTGGTAAAGCAATAAGATCCCTGTTCTCTTTTTCTGGCCCAACACCGGGTATAGCCACTCCCATCCGCCTGCCAGGTGGATAGGTTTCCAAGTGAAGAAGATGGAATTTCTGTGAATGATGGTGAAACACATCCCTCGGACCCACTAGTGCAGTGATACTGCATTGAATTGTGTGGCATGATGTAACTTAAAAAAGAGCACTATCACAATATACAGTGTTACAAGTTCAGTGATGTGCTACAGTAACTGATCTAGAAATCCCATGGAGCAAGAAGAGGCACCATCAGTGTGCACAAACCAATATGACACACCAAGAGAAGACTTACATTGCCGTTTTCCTGGGTAAGAGCTTGTTAAACACATATCACAAATGAATCAGGCTGGTGGGAGTCCAACAATGAGTATTACAAGCTAGCACTTAGTTGTTAATCAAATTCCCATAGTGTAGTCCAGTATCAATATAAGTTTAAATAAACAGCACCTCAAGATAGTTCCCACTGATTCTGTGTGTAGAATCAGAGCATGAAAGCTGGAAGTTGCCCTGCCCTATTACTTACATTCTGAGCCATGCACAAATGACTTCATAATGGAGCCACAGATGTACCTTCAGCTATTGCTTTTGTTATGTGTGAGACACTATTATTAATACATGACACTGTATTATTAAGAATACTCACAAACAAGTACCAGAGCTATAATTCACCCTCATTTTGTGATAATCTCCAGCAATCAAACAACTCAGCTTGTCCATCTGGAACCAGCACGTGATATTAAGTTTACACAGATTGCTCCAGTGGTCAGTTGTATTTGTTCAGAGCCCAGCAGGAGAAACACCATTAGAGTGTGCATTCACTAAAAAAAATTCTGTAGTAATGTATCTGGAACAAAAAGAGAAAGGCAAGAGAAAAGTGGTCATGGGTGGGAGAGGGGAAATGGGAGGTCACAGACAAAAGGAAGAGAATTAACATAAATACAAGAAAGGACCAGAAAGGATAAATATAGATCTGAGGGGACAAAGGGGGAAAAATATGTGGAAGAGTTGCACAGAGGGAAAAATGGAACCAGGATATATAGCCTGGTTTCCATGACAAGTCAATTTAGGGGTTTTTTCCGGAAAAGCGGCAGCCTTTGCTTGCTATAGATGTGGCCATAACTTTCTGTTAGGAACAGAAATGGTAGTTTAATTTTGGTCACACTTAATAGGCATCAACCTTGATTAAAAAACACAAAAACAAAAGCACTTTAAAGGCTAAATAGAAATACCTTTTTTCAAAGTTGCTCATCAGTGAACTGTTGGCTATCACAGAATTCTCTAAATCAGGCTGGGGATTTATTTAGCACAAAGAACCATGTGGGAAATATATCACAAACTGAATAGTTTAGGTTTGTGATATTGACATAAATTGCTTATCATTTTCTTGGTGTTGTCAAATGCTGGTCAAATGTTGATGTGCCTAGTGTATTTATACACATATGCTGTCATTTTGAATAAACATTTGTTAGAACTGAAACAAATTTGGCAACTGAACTTTTTCTTGTCTTGCTTTTCTTGTTTCTTCTCTTTGTCATATATAAATATGCCACTCCATTTTCAAAAATCTCTCTCTTACTAGTAAATTACTGTAAGGAAAAGTAGATGAAGGTATGCTTAAAGTGTCAACAACTGTTGAAAAATACCCAAACATTAATGGGGAATCTCATGTTTCTCATTGTTTAGCTCAGGGGACATGTAAACGATTTCAAGAATCTGAAAATACCGTAATTCACCACATAGTTGTCACATTTTTTATGCCAGTTTCTCTTTAAAAAAAATGAGGTGTGATAATTATGTGAGCAAAAAAGACATGGCCAAGCAAGGTGGCTGGTAGCTGGCATGTTCCGGAGCAGAGGGCCCAGGAGGAGATGCAGGCAGCTGGGTGCGAGCCAAAGCACAGGATGCCGGAGATATGTGCCTGCCGAGTTTGCGCGTGCCCCCAGTGGCTTGTGCGCCCCAGGGCACGAATGGATATGGCCGGTTCTGCTGGCAGCTGGCACTAGCCCGACCTCTGAGCTCAACTGCCAGCGCTCTGGCACCTTCCGGTCCCAAGTAGGGGTGTCCCAGCCCAGGGGACTGGAGTGGGGCAGGTGCGAGAGAGGGGGCATCAGGAACCTTGGAGGGACCCAAGGAGGCAAAAGCAATCTGGTGCCTGGGTTGAACTTCCATCCCGGTCAGTAGCTAGTCCTAATAAGTGTAAGGTTTTAATTGAGGCCACAACTGGCCTGGCTCTGTAGATCCTCCAGCTGTCATCCTGGGCACTGCTCCTGGCTGCTCTGCTCTACTCCATGGCACCGGGTATGCCTCCCCCCCCCCCCCCCCGCTCATCTTGTTTATTTATCCACTGTACAGTTTAGCTATCGCATGCGGTGGCAACGATTATGCGGTGAATTACGGTATTCTACTCTGACTGCGGTAAACAGCAAAATGGCTTACCATATTTGAACAGATATTCAAATTACAGCTAACATTGCAATCTTTCTTACTTAACTTGGAGGAAATCCCATTGAACTCATTGAGACTTACTCCTGAATGGATATGTATAGGATTGTACTGTAATTGAATTATAATCGTACAGCACAACAGCACAAATGAAAGTCATGTGTTTAACTCTATTTCCAGGTTCCAGTGGCAGTCAGTTGAACTTTATAGGCTTGATATCTGGTAAGAAAGCAATACTCTTTTCTCTCAGTTTCATATTTGTTAACATATATTTGAGTCTTTGTAATTTTGATACAGGGTCTAAGTTTTACTCAAAGTCGATCCATTGAAATTAATGGACCTAATTAATTTTAGTATTTCTGCTGGGAGTAAAACTTAGTTGAATACCACCCTGACCTTATAATATCCACCTCTGGCTGAAGATGGTTATTAAGGAACTTCCTCCTGATAAGAGGATTTCCCTGAATCGAGAAATGTTAAACCCAATGGCAAATGTCCCCTTTTGGGGGAAGGTGTTCAGTTGGGTGGAGGCCTTCCAGCTTCAAGCATGCTTGGATGAGGCTGAATATACGGATCCATTTCAGTCTGGCTTTAGACCAGGTTGTGGCACTGAAATCTACTTGGTCACACTAGTTGAATATATTTGTCAGGAGAGAGATGTGAGAGTGCAACTCTGCCTGTCCTTTTGATGGCTTTCTATACCATCGACCACAATATCTGGAGCAGCTCCGGGAGGTAGGGTTGGAAGCACTGTACTTCATTGTGTTTGGTTCTACCTTCAGGGCTATTTTCAGAAAGCAGTTATGGGGCGGGCATTGTTCAGCCCCATGGGAGCAGTCCTGTGGTTTCCTGCAGGGTCCCTTCTTGTTCCCTATACCATTTAACATCTATCTGACACAACTGCTATCTGTGATCAGGAGATTTGGAGTGAAGTGCCACCAGTATGTGGATAATACCCAACCGTGTCTTTCTGTTCCATCTGAATCTGGAGAGGTTGCTGAGGGACGAGGTGGATGCTTGGAGGTGGTGATGGGTTGGATGTGAACCAATAAATTGAAGCTGAATTCTGAAAAGCTGGAGGTGTTATGTGATTCAGATTATCTAGAAGATGGGTATGTGGCCTAAACTCGATGGTGTTGCATTCCCCTGGAAGAAGCAGATCTGTCTCTTGAGATATTCCTGTATCAAGTGTTGTCACTGGAGGCTCTGGTGGCCTTGTTGGCTAGGACTGCCTATTTCCAGCTCCAGCTGACTTGCTAGCTATGGCTTCTTTTGGACAGAGATTCTTGACCATGGTACTCCATGCTCT